ATAGGCGCTGTGTGGACAGGGAATAAGGGCTATTTCAAAATAGGGGGCCTCACCAACCCTGAGCCACTCTGCTGCTGCCCTGACCCAGTGGCACAAAATGAGCCAGCCAGCCAGTACCAGCCAGCCCTCCAGTGGTCCCTGGGAGCAGTCCTCCAGCTCCCAAGAGCCTGCCAGGGGCCGGAAGAGACAGGCACCTTCCTGGTCTAGTGCGGAGGTCATGAACCTTATTGAGGTTTCAGGCGATGCCACCAACCTCCATGATCTCTGCACTAGATGCAAAAAGATGGCTGTCTATGGCCAGATGGCTGCCAGCATGGCCGACAGAGGCCATATCCGCACCCAGAAACAGGTGCAGATAAAGATAAAAGAGCTGCAGCAGGCCTATGCCAGGGCCACAGGGGGCAGCTCCCAACCAGGGGCACACAGACAGCTGCCCCTACTTCGATGCCCTGGACCGCATCCTGGGGGGCAGAACGATCCATTTCCCCCAGGTAGTCATCGATTCTGGGGCAAAGGGCCCGGATGATGGCACAGACGAGTGGGAGTGGGGCCAGGAGCCAGAGGAAGCAAGCGTCACCATGCCGCTCACCCAGGACCCCCAAGCCCTCCCTGCAGATCTGTTCCAGGAGTCGTCTGAAGTGCCATCACTACCCCCTTATGCGGCGGGGGGGGGGGGGGGAAGAGAGAGAGGGGGAAGACCAGGGACTGCGCATGTGGGCCTTGCTGGCCACAGATCACTCAGCAACCTGTGCACGTGTGAGCACATGCCATGCCACCCCTGGGCACGTGGCCCCAGGGGCCGGCCACACAGGGGCCTTGGCCTGTTAGCCACAAGGGTGTGTGGAGAGACATGACATGCTCCTGACCCCGGGGTGGGACACGGCCGGACACCCTCCCTCCACAAGCCCCCCTCTGCACAAAGGCAGGGGACATCTCCTCCTTCCTCCGCCCCCCCAACACTGATATACAGCACAGGGGCATGGGTGCAGTCTCAGGGCAACTCCCAATTACGGGGATAGCATGACATCCCAAACACGCCTGTGTGCAAGCACATTGGCTCTGACGGTGCAGAGAACTGTCATCCTCTCCTCGCAGAGGGGGGCTGGGCTTCACCCACTGTGTCCCCAGGGATAACTGACCACTTCTCTTGGTTCTCCACAGCTGCACCAGCTGTGAGTGGAGGGCGCACCACCCCACCCCACCTGGGACATCCTCCCACACCCGAGGGCTCCGCAGGCATGCCCATCCTTTGGACAACTACGAGCGGCAGCACTTGGGGGCCCTGCGAGCCCTGCACCACACCCTTGACCACTGGGTGGAGAAAGACCTGCAGTGGGAGAGCTGGTGGGAGCAGCTTGCCCAGAGCCATGCCATCTGTGCCCATCTGCGCCCATTAGCAGACTCTGGTGCAAAGCTTTCTGCCTCCTGACGCTCCACCCTCTGCTGCCTCCCCAGCTACCGCTTCTCCTCCCACTCCTCCCTCCACTCCCTCCGCACCTCACCCCTCGGGGATGCCGAGGCCCCCTCACCCATGGTGCTGGGCGCCAGTGGGGCCAGCGCCACTACAACCCTGAGCCTTTTCTCCCCCTTCCTCCCCTTTCCAGCTTCCTCTTCCCAGGTTTCCCCCTCCCCTTTTCCATCCTCTCTCCTCCCCTCTCCTGCCTTCTTTCCCCAGTCTCACCTAAGTTTCATTTCCACCCCAGTTTTATTGATAAACAGAGTTTGGTTTAATGAAAACAAAGGTCTTTATTTTCCATCAGGAAGGGGGGTTAGGGAGGAGTAAGTGGAGGGACGTGAGGGAGGAATGAGCTACAAGCCCCCAGTGGGGCAGACCAGCACTGTTACTGCTCCTCCGGGTACAAGCTCTCCCTGAAGGCCTCCCGGATGCAGACAGCCCCCCAATGGGACTCCCAGATGGCAGCTGTGTGGGGCAGTATGTACATGCTGGCCAAGCGCTCTGCCTTTGCCACCCAGCCCTCCCCCTTCTGCTCACACACATTGTGCGGCACAGCATGCTGCCACCACGTGCAGAATATTCCTCTGCGCCAGGTCCAGGCAGATGAGGAGGCACCTAAACGATGCCTTCAGCCGTCCACAGGTGCCCTTGACCACAATGTGGGCCCTGGTGAAGCTGGCATTGAAGGCATGTCGGGAAGGATTGAGGTATCCCGTGTAGGGCTTCATGAGCCAGGGCTATAGGGGATAGGCTTCATACCCCCGCAGGCAGACTGGCATGTCCACATCCCTGACCATGAAGTGCCGGTTGGAAAAGAAGGTCCCGGCCTGCAGCCTCTGGCACACGGAAGAGTTGCGGTACACGCGTGCGTCATGTGCTTTGCCTGACCAGCCAAAATTAATGTCCAGAAAGTGGCCTTGGTGGTCAGTAACGGCCTAGAGGATGACCAAGAAATATCCCTTCCGGTTTATAAACATGGAAGCCTGGTGGTCTAGGGCACAGATCGGGATGTGTGTCCCATCAATAACCGCTCCGTCCTCTCTCCCCTTCCCCACAGTTGGGGAAGCCCAGGGCACCAAACCCCTCCATGACTGCATCAACATCAACAGCAGTCTTCTCGATGTGCCTCACTGTAAATAAAAAATTTCAGGGGGAAAAGTGAAAATCTGAATGAATGGTGAAGGCTCAAGTGCAAAGGCTGAGAGCTTTTTTCTCCCTTGTTATATATAAAGAACATCTTACACAGAAGGAGGTGTTGGGAGATTATACTGCCGGTCCTTCACTCCTGTCAGCCAGTATGTAATTTCTGTTCCTTTGCCCTAATATGATAGACAGGAGAGAAGCACAGTTTAAGGATTAGTTAGGCAAACTATATGATTTATATACTTTATGTGATAGTGTATTATATGATTGATGTATTGTTCTTGCTTACTGTATGTAACAGATACCAGAGCATAGGACAGACACCTATCAAATCTTATAAATTGAAACAAATAATGTATCACAACAAAGGTGAGCAACTTAATAGCACTCTACCACTAAGCCCATTCACCACTACCCACTCTTCAAATTTTTATTACCAGTGATAGGTTTCATCTACAATACTTTACACATATCTATATTTCCTTTACTTATGTTTCAGATGCTTTTTCAACTACTACATTAAATCTAGAGGGATGTCTCCGTCACCCTGTGACTGAACAACCAACAAATATGTCTCTCTTGCTCCTAGATGTTTGTCTAAAATAGGCAAACATCTCAAGTGTGTTTGTAGACATAATGAACGTTACCTTCAGGTAAGTCTCTCCTCTCTGTTTATACTGGAAATGGCAGTCTGTCCTCTTCAAGATGGCAATAGTAGACCCACTTACATGAATCCGTAAAGCTAAAAGTAACCAGAAATGCTCAGTTCAGAAACTTAATGTATGAATGTTTTCATTTTCTGTGCAAATCTGTGCTTAGAGAGGTTTATCTAGTTGTCTTTGATGTCTTAGGACCAACTCTGTGATTCAAATGACATGGAAGCTACTCATATATTGTTAAACCCAGAAAGAACTACTCCATCACAAAGCATTATATAAGAAAGACTAAAACAACTACACCTGTACCAACCAATATCTCAGGATAGAAGTGATAGCAGTATTTGGAAGGAGTAAATATCAAGAAGAGGAAGGAATGGGAAGAAATTGAGCAAAGGGAAGAAATTTTAGGCTGGCTCTCAAGAAACATTCCTAATGGCAAAACTATCAGACTATGGGATATTTATAAATCTCAGAGGGGTAGGTATATTAGTCTGTTTCTGTAAAAACAACGAGGAGTCCTGTGGCACCTTAAACACTAACAAATGTATTTGGGCATAAGCTTTTGTGTATAAAAAACACCATCAGATGTACGGATTTCCACATCATGCATCTGACCAAGTGTTTTTTACCCACAAAAGTTTATGCTTAAATATATCTGTTAGTGTTTAAGGTGCCACAGGACTCCTTCTTATTTATTTATATTTAATATAATAAAAATGACTATCAGTGTTCCCTGTAAGCTGTGTGCTTGTGTGGTTGCTCAGGGTAGATTCAAATGCCTCTCAGCTGATTAACAGAGCACTCACAGCTAGGTTTTTGCTTCTACTGGTGGTGAACATTCGCACATGCCTCTGTGCATATAAAAATGTAGTCCTCATGTGGACAGAAAAAAGTCCACACATGGATGAAAAAGATTAGAAGGAACACTGATGCCTGTCTAAGTCACTAAGCACTCTGATAGCGTATGTCTACACTACAAAGTTAATTCAAACTAACAGAAGTTAGTTCGAATTAACTTTGATAGGCGCTACACATACAAACCGCTAGTTCGAATTAAGTTCTTAAGAACTTAATTCGAACTAGCGGTTTGCCTCTGTAGCGCCTATCAAAGTTAATTCGAACTAACGGCTGTTAGTTCGAATTAACTTTGTAGTGTAGACATACCCTTCGTTACTCTCTGTTCTGGGGAATCAACAGTCCTCTGTCCGACCACTTGCCTTGGTGGCAATCTGCAGTCTCCGGTCTAACCACTCTCGTCAGTTTATATACTGGCCACTCCCTGGCAAGTTAGGGAAAAATGGGCGGCAGGCCCACCTGCTACTCTGGGCCCCAATCCAGGGACCCAATAGCCAGCAACCACCTGCTGCCCCCTTCCAACTCCTGCCATCTGTTTCCCTGGTTACTTCCCTGTATCCCTAGCACCTTGCCAGCCCTTTGTATCAGGGGCCTCAGTCTAACAGCCTTTAGGCTGGAGCTCACTGTTATTCCCTGACCCTGCCCAGCACTACTCTCTATAAAGGTACTCTCTAATGGCCACCCCTTCTCCCTTGCACTCCAAGGACAGATTGACTCTGTGTTGAGTATGCCTTCTTTTATGGCCCTCCCTGGCCCTGACTGGCTCCTCCGATAAGCCTTGCCTCGATTAGCTATCTACAAGTCCTCCTCCCATTGGTTAGGGAGGCTGCGCCAAACTTGAGGGTTGCTTTAACCTTCCAGTAGTCTGTGCAGGGCAGCCACTCCATCGTACACAGGAGCAACTGGACTTTGGAAAAATGTGTGAGTTTTCATGCAACATACACACACAAGTGAAAATGGAACTTATGTAATCACTTTGTCTTTAGAAGTTGCCATAAAATGATCTAGTTTGTTATAGCACTCAGCAAAAAAAAAAAAAAAATAAGAAAAACTTACACATGGCCTGAGATAGGGGGCATAATAGGAGAAGAGGTTGGTGGACAAAGTCTTGTTTCAGGTAACAGAGTACTGGAGGAATGTACTTGTAAGTTGATCAGTATCTATACAATTTAAACAGTGAAAAACAAAAACATTGGATAAGACTCCTGTGTGTTACATGGCTCCCATCACATAGACAGCACACATTTTTCCTTTCCCAAATATAATACAATCATCATTATAAAATTATACCAAGTTCTGGTTTTAAAAGTCCCTTATTTTTTAAAAGAGCTCTTGCGAACATTAATTTTATGCTAACACAACTGCATTATCTTCAGTGAAAGTACATAAACTGGTGTAGTACAGTGAAAAGTCATACCCACTGGCTTCCGGAGCCAGATTCTGCTTCCGCTGAATCTCATAACACAACTCTCATTGAATTCAGGGAGCAAGAGAAAGCCACCAATTTCTTCCAAGTAAATTGATCTGTGAGGGAATGCCAGATGTACCCACTCCAGAACAGTATATCATCTGTATTTTTTAATTTATTGCTATATCTGCATTCGGAGGCTTAAGGTACCCCTTCTGCTGTGGAGCTATTTTGGGGTACTAAAAGTATCCCAAAATATCTATTCTGTGTCTATTGAAGCAGCCCATTATTTCAAAACAGATTTCAAAATAATGGGTAGCTTACTCTGACATCCCAGTATCCCTCGATCCACAAGAGTTAAGGGGCATTCGGAATAGCGAGTTATTTTGAAATTTGGCGCTGTGGAGACAGCACCAAATTATGAAATAAGCTTTTTCAAAATATACTCAAAATAAGCTACAATTTTGAGCTACAGATGCTATGTAGATGCACCCTCAAGGAATGGGCTAAGTTTTAATACAACTAAAAGTAAATATATTATGTGACTAGTTAATTTAAGATTACCCTAACATAATAAGAGCTAGGGGAGGACAAAGCTTTACGGGGGCAAGTTTGAGATTCTTACATTTTAATATTCCCGCACACAAATGTCAATAGAAGCTTCAAATTAACACACACTAACATTTTTCTTATGCCACATTTTACAATTACTTTAGAGTTAATTAATGTAAAATTATTGTTTTCATACTCTACACCTATAAAGCATTTTTTTAAATTTCTGTTATTCATATCCTCCAGTTATGAACACTAAAAGAATTTTGGCTTCAGGTCCAACTCTACAAATGGGAAGTACCATTTTATCATCTACATTTTACAACTTTTAAAAAAGATAGCTACATATCATGTGTTGCAATTGTAAAGTCCAATATACTGCAGCTGACTGAGGCCAAGGATAGATTCTTTATACTATCTGAAGCCCTCAAATCCTCATAGGTGGGCTATAGACATTTCTTGCTCCAATGAAATCATGAGATATGAGGCACAAGAATGGATTTTGCCGGGCTTTGAGCCTCAGACTAGTGATAGTTTTTATTGGCAAATAAGTGAGGGGTTGGGGGGAGACGTTCTGAGAACATTTCTTGTACCAGATTTTTGTTAGCTTTAAAAAAAAGGAGAGTGGGGCACACTGCTTACGACCCTAGAGATTTAAAATAGAAGCAGTAGTCCCTAGAGTGGAAATGGATTAGTGGGCAAAAGTGCAGGGAGACAATGAAAGATACAACATAAAGGCCATGTATTGTATGGTTTTAGGAAAGTACATAGTAAGTGGGAAATAATGCTTTTTAAGATAGATCTCTAATTTGGCTCACCGTTAATTTTTCCAGGAGTAACAAATAAGCAAAAATTGATAAGAAAAATGCTTCTCCCCACTTCCCACCCTAGCCATTTAACCAATTCCACTCATGTAACCTGTACAAATAATCTGTCAAAATGGTTAGTAATGTTTTCATAACATATTTTTCCTTATGTTGTATTTATGACATATGTCAAAACTGTTGGGCAGAAGGAATACTTAGAAATGTCCAATACTCATATCTAAATGTTCTGTTTTTTCAACATTTACATTAAGCACAGCTCCAGCTCTCTAATGCAGTTATTAGTGTCAAAACATTCCACGACATTCATGTTTTTGTGCATTATCCAGAGGCAAATAACAAGAGAGAATTAAGCTGTTAAAAGCTAGGACACTGCAACAGAATACATTATAGTGCAAAGGAGGTGAAAAATAATGAACAAAAAAGTATATATGCCTGCCTGTGGATTATATCTTGCAGCACTGGTGACTGCACATGGGATATTCATTCGCAGAGAAACAGAGCCTTTATAGTTATTAGAACGAGAAGCAGTGCTAACTGGCAGAGGCATCATAGGGACAGAGAAAGGACTGTTATAAGGTGGAAGCCCAGGCTGTAAGAGAAACAAACAAAAATAAGTGGAGGAATAGACTATTTAAAGTACAATATGACAAAAGCATATAAGCGTCAGAGTTAAGTTGTGGTAGACTTTTGTAGGAGTTCTAAGTATATTATGAGGGAAGAAAGGTCAGTTTTACTAAAAAAAACAAAAAAACAAAAACAAAACCTAACCCTTCATCCACTCACTTATTTTAAATGTCTAAGTATGAGTTAAGGAAAAATCTTAACATTGTAAGTCCGTAGTATGAGCTTTGGTGCTAAACTAAAGCTAACCTGAAAAAAAAAAAAAAGTACACTAAGCAAACAGGTCAGTGACAAATGCCCCTCTTTCTCCTTGCCTCAAAAAGATACCCACCCTTTATTAACACTTTCAAGGTAGAAAAATCCCTTCCAAAGTTTTACAAGAGAGTCACCTTCATATTAAAATGAAAGCATGGGGCTATCAATAGCACTGCTATCCATAGGCCTCTTCTGATGTAATGATATCAGAGGTCAACTGAGCTTGAAAGCAATTTCAAGTTAGGATATTTTTGAGGCAGATGTAGGAAATGTCAATGACCTCTCTTTTTTAATAAAGGCAATCTTGTCAGTTTTATGTTTAGTCTTAACTTTCACCTCAACAGAAAGAGCACAGTAATTATTATTAGAACTGCAGCAGTACCTTGATGTCCCCATCATGACCTAGGTGTCATTGTGTTTGGCACTGTACAGATACACCGGAAGACGCTTTTCCTGTCCTGAAGAGCTTTTAGTCAAGTGGGTGCATGTAATCTGGCAAATATACTAGTGGGTTTCCCACACCCTTTCCTGCACCTCAGTCTCCTACCCTGAGCTCCCTTCTGCACCCAATCTCCATCTCAGACCCTGCACCCTTTTCATAGAAAAGTGCAGCCCTTAACCACTTGCCAAAATCTTGGAATTCTCCCCCCCCCCCCATCAAAATGTATTGATTATCCTGTATCAACTGAGTTTGTGCTGCTCCCAGCTTTGTATTTGGAACAGGGAGCTTGTTTATAAACAGAGGGAAGCATGGTGATTAAGATAACAAAAGGCTTGTCATTCAAGTAATTGAAGGATTGCTAGTTCATCATGAAAACATTGCTGGGTACTCCATTTAAAAGATAGGAAAAAAGATCTGTATTTGGATCACTGCTGTTTAACTGCTCATAAATGTTCTTGAAAAAGAGGTAAACAGTGAGGAAGTAAAATTTGCAGATGATACAAAATAGTTATAAGAAGGGTTCTCACAAAACTGGGTGATTGGGCAATAGAAGGGCAGATGGAATTCAGTGGTGATAAATGCAAAATAATGCACATAGAAAAATAGAATCCCAAATATACATACAAAAATCATAGGGTCTAAAATACTGATTACCACTTATATTGCCTCTATATAAAAAAGCAAACATGAGTCTGAGATGCATTAACAGGAGCGTTGTGAGCAATGCACAAGTCATCATTCTTTCGCTCTACTCTGCGCTGATTAGGCCTCAATTGGAGTAGTGTGTCCAGTTTTGGGCACTACATTTCAAGAAAGATGTGGAGAAATTGGAGAGGGTCCAGAGAAGAGCAACAAAAAGAATTAAAAGTCTCGAGTTATGAAGTAAGGCTGAAGGAATTGGGCTTGTTTAGTTTGGAAAAGAGAAAACTGAGAGGGGACATGATATCGTTTTTCAGATATCTAAAAGGATGTCAGAGGGAGGAGGAGGAAAAATTGTACTCCTTGGCCTCTGATGATAGGCTTAACCTGAAGCAAGGGAGGTTTAGGCTGGACATTAGGAAAAACTTCCTGTCAGGGTAGTTAAACATTGGAATAAATTGCCTAGGGAGGTTGTGGAATTGCCATCATTGGACATATTTAAGAGCAGGTTAGACATTCATCTGTTTGGAATGATATAGATCATGCTTGGTCCTGCCATGAGGGCAGGGGACTGGACTTGATGATCTCTTGAGGTCCCTTCCAGTTCTAGTATTCTATGATTCTATGATTCCTGGATCCTCTACTGGCCCCCACACCCAGTCTGCTGGCCTCCAGGCCGGCTCCTCATCTCCTGCTGACCCTGCTGCCTGGCTGACCCCACTGGGCAGCTATCGCTGCCCTGGCTCCAGAAACTGTAGGGCAGCTGCTCACGCCACACTGGGACGCCTGGTCCCACTGGGCATCTGCGCACTGTGGATCCCTGCCCTACTGAGCTACTGCAGTTCCCCCCCCCACCCCACCCCACCCCCCACCAGGCAGCCACATGCATGTCTCCCAACCCCACTGGGCAGACCTGCTGCCACACCCTGCTGCCAGTTCACTGCAGGCAGCCCACTTCCCTGACAACCCTACAGGAATCCTTGTAACTGGCCCTCCACATGGACTATTTGGTCCTGCAACAGCCATGCCAGACTATGGATATTGCACACCACGGAATCCCAGTTAAAAGAGTTTCAACCCGTATATTTAAGAAAGTATTTATCATTTATTGTCAGAGGCATTTTAATGCAAACATGTCCTGCAAAGCATCTTAGCCCATCTAGCACCATGTAGCCTAATTTTCAAGAAAATAAATTCTTGTCAACCAAAAAAAGTGTTAAACAGATAACAGATAATTGAGTTGTACAGCTGTGTCTGTCATCAAGAAAACAGCTTGAAGTGTTTTACCCAAATCATTTTCCTGCAAATATTTTGACATAGTGAACTAGCTAGAGAGGTACTGATTCATAAATTGCAATTACATTTCTTCAATTCACACCCAGGGTAGTTAGATTATGGAAATCCTTAATAACAAGAAACCATTATGACAACTCCTCCTCAGGGCTGTACTTTGACAAAAAATTAGCTCACTTGATTCCTTGCCCATGAAAACTCCAGTCACCTTCTTGGGTCCCACAGCAGTGGAGTCGATTCACTATTCCTAAGGGATAACAATCTGACTCTGGCGGCTATAGAATACAAAGATAAATATGGATCTCTGTATATGGCAATCTTGCAGTTGGTATTGCTATCTAGGGACTCAAATTCAAAGAATCCCTAGGAGTTGGTCGTTCACCACATGACTTTCAGCAAGTTAGGGAGGGAGAAGAATTTTAAAATGACAGCAGAGCAAAAGTAGGTCTCTGACAACTCTGTAAATGGATGGGTCATGAAGATTTTAAATGCCCTCATCAGCAGGGCAAAACAACAAAAGAAAAAGCCAAACAGAACTAAGGAAAACACTTTCAGAATAGATTACTGGGGCAGCTCTTAAAGGGTTTTGGTTATAAATTAGAGTGATATTTGAGGAAATTCTCACCATCCACAGATATTTTAAAAAACAAAATGTCCCTTTACTAGAATTGTTAGGTGGAATAACTCTTCTGAACAGTCTTAGAAGAGGTAGCACAAAAGAAAAAGCCAAACAGAACTAAGGAAAACACTTTCAGAATAGATTACTGGGGCAGCTCTTAAAGGGTTTTGGTTATAAATTAGAGTGATATTTGAGGAAATTCTCACCATCCACAGATATTTTAAAAAACAAAATGTCCCTTTACTAGAATTGTTAGGTGGAATAACTCTTCTGAACAGTCTTAGAAGAGGTAGCCATGTTAGTCTGTATCTTAAAAACAAGGAGGAGTCCTGTGGCACATTAAAGACTAGGGGTATGTCTACACTACCCCGCTAGTTCGAACTAGCGGGGTAATGTATGCATACCGCACTTGCTAATGAAGCCCGGGATTTGAATTTCCCGGGCTTCATTAGCATAAGCGGGGAGCCGCCATTTTTAAATCCCCGCTGCTTCGAACCCCGTGTAGCGCGGCTACACGGGGCTCGAACTAGGTAGTTCGGACTAGGGTCCTATTCCCCGCTTATGCTAATGAAGCCCGGGAAATTCAAATCCCGGGCTTCATTAGCACTGAGGGTATGTCTACACTACCCCGCTAGTTCGAACTAGCGGGGTAGTGTAGACATACCCTAGTAGATTTATTTGGGCTAGGGCCGTCGAGCGATTAAAAAAATGTAATCGTGATTAATCACACAATTAATCGTGAGAACTTCACCTTTGAAACGCCATGGAAGTGTTTCAACAGGGCAGTGCTGCATGGAGCCCGGGATCTACTAGAGTCCCCAGCTGACTCTGGGCTCCATGCAGCAGCACTGCCCCTTTGAAGTGCCGGGGCAGCATTCCCAAGGGGCAACGCAAGGCGGAGCCCAGGGTCAGCTGATCCTAGACTCCTAATGCACTGCCCCTTTGAAACACACTGGTGGCGTTTCAAAGGGGGCAGCACAGCATTAACACCTGTGATTAACACGTTAAAAAATTAACACATTAATTCTGATGTGCGTTAATCGCAGGTGTTTATGCACATCAACAGCCCTAATTTGGGCATAAGCTTTCGTGGGTAAAAGCCACTTCATTAGATGCACAGTTCAACTTCAGCTATTGGTGAACAACGGATATGCAGAAGTTTATTGAAAACACTCAAGCAAGTCTGAAACAGACGGGGCTGGAAATTAAAATAGCTAGCTCTTAGCAAAAAATGATTGTATATAGCTGGACCATTGCTGGACACAAATTCTTTCTGTAATTTTGCTCTATTGTACTGCATTTATAATAGCCACAATATTACCTTTACCATTTAAAGAAAACTTTATACTTCACAAATTATGCTCTAGCTGAACTCTGAAGGCAATGTTTTTTAAAATGTACATGTTATTTCTGAGGCAATTTAAAATGTGGAGCCAAACTTAGGTCAGACATTAAACAAAGCACAGTGCCTCTACTATTTCAGCTGTGTACTACTCATTTATTAACGATTTGTCAGTTGAATTCAGAGTGAATAAGGGTAGCCAGCCCTTAGAATTAACAAGCATATTGATTTTCCTTTATGTTTGAGAGAGACCATCTTCCAGATGGCCCTGAAAGAAGTGAAATGCTAGTTAACATGGCCTCCTGGTCTAATTTTCCATAGTACATCAGTATTACTTCACTGCTGCATTTTTCACTGAGCCACTGGGATACATTTTCACCTCTGTACCACCTGTCAATATCATCTTAAGATATTTTTCTTCTGCTCTGAATATCATCTACAGCTTCAATTCAGTGCCATCTGTTCCATACTGT